TTGTGCATGTGAGTTTTAAAAATACCTTAAGGAGTTATTGTGGGTAAAATGGTATTTTAATTTTTAAAATATTTTAAATGATTTATCATATAATTTATAATATTATTTATTCGTGGTATATTATTGATGTTTAGAAAGATTAAAGTGAACAAATCATTAAAAAAAAATATTTTTATCTTGATTTATTTAATATTATGACGTTTGTGACTTCCACTTTCGTCCCACATGTATATTATAGGTGCATAATATTATTATACTATCGTCTAATTTTTATATCGATCAATAATTTTTAAGTGTGCTTATACCTAATGCCTGTATATTAATATAATATATAGGTATAGATGTATAGTAAATACATTAAATACATATGCGAAATCGTTTTCATAAAAAAACATCTGATTATATTATGTATACAATTATTGTGTAACAGAAAAAAATTATCAACTACTTTCAATTATTATACATATCTAAATACCTTACATTATAAAAGTATAAAATAGTGACTTATAAGCTGCTCCTACACTATTGGTAATTTAAGGCATATTCACTTGTCAAACATACAAATAGTTATTAACATAATGTAATAGAGTATAGGTTTGTTTGTTTGTTTGTTTTTGAAACACTTAACATTACCTATATATATTCTAAATGTATAAAACGTGAACTGGCGCGTTCGTGGTTAAACTCGATTGAAACGAGCGTCATACATGTGGACTATAAGTACCAATAAGAAATACAAAACTATTACACTGTTTTGACGACGAAATTTACAATATCGTCAAAATATTGAATATAAAGTATCAAAACTAAATATTATCCACGACTGTATGTGTGTGTATATATAGACACTATAGGATATCTAAACACGTATTATTTACATATTAACGTCTACTTAACACATATATTGTATGTACTAGGTATAATACTATCCGCGTCTTCTTAACTATAGGTATAGCTGTGCGTATTCGCAACGACCGTAATTCAATAATTTCCGCATATATATATAAAATATTATATAGGACCGCGCGTGGTGTGTTGTTATGAAAACATACGACATGTGTACAAATATAATATTGTAATACTTATATTGTTATTAAATTATTCGGATAAAAAAATTAAAACAATACAACGTATATTTCGAAATGCACGAACCTTTGTAAAGTGGTTGGAGATTATAAATTATAATATATTATATTATTGTACGAAATATACATATTTAAACATAACTTCGGAGCTGCGGTCGTTATAAAGTTTATAATATTATAATATAAACAATTCGGTCGACGACCACGATGACGATTGTGGCCCACTACACACAACGACAGACGACAGAAAATAGTTGCAAAAATAACAGCATCTTTTTATACGGGTAATCGGTAGAGTATACTATTATAAGGTAGTATGTTAAAAAAAATTTCGGCACCGTGGAAGCATTACGAAAATAGTTCCCACGGCGTCGTCGGTTCAAAACGGAAAAAAAAGTATGTTATAAAATTACTTAGAAATATCATATAGTATTAAGTTGTAGTATATAGTATGATTAGAGATTTAGAACGAGGCTGCGGTCTGCAAGCCTCCTACTTGTATTTATACTATTTATAGATTAAATTACTAAAAGAATTATTGTGATTTGTAATTTTTAAATATACATAAATGTATAAGTACAAGGTAATTTTCAGAAGATAAAAAATATTTTTTCCGGAATCAACATTTTTGAAAATAAATCATTTTTTTATTATTTGTTTTTTATTACATTTTGTCTAATGAGGCCAAACATTTTCAATTTAACATTCTAAAGCAGAATAATTTTCTGAGAATTTCAATACACAAAAGTGAATTTGCGAACAAGTAGGTAGTCATAGACATTTACACGGGAGAGGCTAAGTGGGCAGCTTCTCCTTCTCCGAACTAAATGTTATTTAAATATAAGACAATTTTATATCTTAAATCATCACTGTGATTTGAATAAAATACAATAATAATTTATTTTGTTCGCTTACGTGGTAATTATAATTAGTAAAGTATAACTAGTATAGGAATTTAAAGTTTAGATGAGCTGTACGTATAAGAAACAACACTTTGCTAGGTACTCTTGTACTATTCCACAGCTCTGCTCATATAAACTTTAAATACTTAAAACTAATTTTTCGAACTGCTCGTACGAAATTCGATAATTTAAAAAAAAAAGTTTTTTATTACATAATAAATATGAATATATAGTATTAATGTCGATATAACTACAAATATTATACACGTAGGTATACTACGTCATAGTGTAGGTACGATATAATAATATGTCCATTGTGCTCATCAACATACTTCATATTATTACATTATTTCATAGAAATTTATATTTATACATTTAATCGACGGCTCTATTATAACAGTAATAATTTTAATAATTGTCTAATAACAATAATACCACAAACGATGATTTATTTTACTCCATACTTAGAGATCGATCAGCGAATAAGTCTACTGGTGGAATAAGTGATCACTTTATTCCTTCATTGCCGACGCTTCGCTTCAAAACGTGATTTACTTCTTCGTTGAATTTAAACGGGGATAAAACGGATGAAGAAGTACACGAACAACGATTTTTTCGCACGATAACGTCACCAAGAACGTACCTATACGATTTGTATGTATAAGAATTATAAAAGGGCGTAAAAGGGGTATAGATAGGTTCCGTACGTCCCCAATATTGTTCAAGTTGAATATTTCTATACGGTTCGCGTTGTATTTATAGGCACACGTCTTTTATTTGATGCACACCTATATAATACCTATATCGCTGCAGTGACGAGTGACTAAGTGTAGTCCGCTGGTCAAAATCGCGCGCAGTAATTGGCGCGTAGGACGTGCGGCGAACGGATTTGTTTTTTTCCCGTGTGGCTTTGAAATATATTTCCCGGCTAGGATCAAAAACAAATACAACGCCTATATAAAACGCCTCTGCAGTGCGACCATATATAAACCGCGAGTACCTAATTTATATAATACGTATATATATATAATATGAATATTTAACAGGGTGCAGCTTGTGAGTCGTGAAATCTAAGTCGCGCGCGTAGTCCGTTTCGGCCGGTGCAGTAATCATTGAGTTTCGTATACGTTTAACAATCTAAAATCGCATACCTGCAGCAGTTGCAGCATCCGGATGGAGGACGCGGACGGTACCATAAATAAATTTATATATGGTACCTATATAATATACGTATGGTTACAAATGATTTTTTTTTTTTTTTTTACAGCGTATATTATATCGCGACGACGGCGTAGGAGTGACACTCCCGATTCTGCCAGAGCCGGAACACGGGCCAATCCCAGGGGACAACCGAAAAAAGTGCCTCGGCCGAACCGGTCGTATAATATCATATAATAATATTTTAATATTGTTATTTATCTGGTCGTGACCATACGTAACCGACCACGCGCCAACACCACCAAAACGACGACTACGACGACGACGACGGTCCGCCGTCAACGGAACGCGATGAGCTAATATCGACGACTGAGACGACGAAGTGAGGTCCACGAAGCACGCGGTCGCAGATGTTGCGTGGACCGGCGACGGCGGCGCGCCAACTCTCCCACGACGTGCACGACCTGTGCACCGGTTCGAAGATGCGTGCGCGCGCGACGACCGTTACTATGTGTGTATGTCCTGCAGTGTAATAATTAGGTATATTATTTAAATCGACGTCTGGAGGAAAAATTCACGATTACAAAAAAACGTCAACAATTTCACTACAAAACAAAACATTTTAATAAAGAAATTAACGTTTTTGTCCCTTTTACCGTTTTGTGTCTCGATACGTACGCATTGGTATATGTCATTATGATAAAAGCGAACTGTTTATTATATTCGAGATAAATCAAAAAAAAAAAAAAAAAATGCTTGTCTCCACGAAAAAAAAACAGAGTTTGTTGTTTAAATCGTTTAAAAATTATTTTTTTTTAAAATAGAAGTCTAATATATTATATATTGTGGTTTCATTAGTACAAGTACCTACTATTAATATTATACCTATTACATATCAAATTAATTGATGAAATGGACTTTTTGAGATAGATCGCCTTGTGCTAAAATATTTAATTAACTCGTTCAAAAATAATCGTAAAAATATTATACCGTATCAATTTTTCAATTTTAAGAAGCTATTGTTCCGTGGGGTTCTAATATCTCCAATTGTGATATTTATAAATGTGTATGTGTATGTGTGTGTATGCTTAACTAGGGATCGAGGCTAGACTGCTTAACTGCAAAAAGGAGGTTAGTCATCAAAGTTATAACTCTAACCTGAAACTTAAAATTTTTTTTTTTTTGCTATACACAATGTACCTATTGTTTTTATTTAATTACGACGTAGGTATACGTCACTCTGTGTACCTACCTAAAAACGGCATAATATTTTTTTATCAATTTCGCTCTTCTATATTATTAATTCTAAATCTTATATTGCCCATTTGCATGTATAGTACTGAGATACACTAATTCGTAAGATTATTGCCCGTACACGCAATAATAATAATATGTTATTCTCGTGGGCAGACTCTTATGATTTACGTTGTAGCATTGGCGTCCCCAGACATTTTTCTAGGGGGGAGGGTAAAATAAATGAAGATTTTTTATACATTATATACTTATATTTTATTTATAGTAAATTATTATTTTTCATCATTATTACATTAAATTATTACAATTAGTTAATAAATTTAAAATTCTTGGGGGAGGGGGGAAAGTGCCCCGTCTTGCCCCCGCTGGGGACGCCCATGCGTATCGTAGTCTGCTGTCATGAAACTCGACAACCGACATAATATTATCGTAACAACTAACAGATGTGCAAAATAAAATTATTTTCTGTTTTTGTCACTCTATCTGTCTGCCTGTCCATCTGGTTATCTCAATTTCTACGTCGTCGTCACATTACAATATATTGGTACTATAATAGGTACTTATTTAATATATATACAATATAATCATAGTTCGACTTTACCTTTCTCGCACCATAATAGGACGTTTGCCGCGACAAGGCCCCGTGGCCAGTCTTCAATGACACCGAAGCTGAACGTACGGTTTTTGCGCGCCGATATTATATTATGTTATTAACGTTTTGATATAATATCATTATGCTACAAGCCTACAAAATAATATATGAAAACAAACCGCACTGTTCACACACGCGTACGATAACTAAACGTCATTCAAAAAGATACTTTTACAAAAAAAACAATTTTATTCGAAACACGACGCCTGTACATTATTGTAAATGATATTTTGAATAATATTTTTACACCTTACATGTTCATTTAGTTATTATTAATGTCGTGATAACATTATGCTATTGCAGTGATGACGGAAACCGCAGACGTACTGTAATGAAATCGAAACCGGTGCGACTGGCAGTTATTGTACGCGGTGAGCACAATTTCGTACCGTGTCGGCATAACCCGTATGTTGCCGTTTGGGTGAGCCAAGGTCGAGACGGCCGAGTTGTTTGAAATCGCGTGCACGTGGGGTTTAACGACACTCCGTGATGAGCACATGACGATACGCGACAATCGAAATTTTACGTTATTTTTACCTCGTTTTGGTACCTACCCCTATGTCCGCCTCCCTCTCCAAAAAAAATCCATAATAATCCCGTTTTGTTCATACATTGTATTATAATATGCTTTATACCGCTTTCTCATAATTCGCGGTTAGGATATATAAATTACACGTTTTAGGTACCACATTTTGTGTCCCATTGCAACCGCGGTTGTCATTCTTATTATCGGGTTTTACAAATCATACAATATTATGTAGGTAGTTTACTCTGTATAATACTAATTCGACGGCTACACGTTTTTATAATATTGTTATGGACTTGAATTCGGAAATTAATAAATTTTGGATTTTATTATATGGAAATGGAATACATTTTGAAAGCTAGACGTCCAAAGAAAAAACAATCATAAATAATATTACCTATATGTTAAACTATGATTAATTTCTATTCAGAATTCGTGGAAATCAATATTTGTAAATATTAGAAAAAATCGTGTAATGACATGTATGATATTAAAAATACATAATTATCATTGTTACAAGTTAAATTAATAATCTAACTACTTATACATTTTTTCTAGGTCAACCAATTCAAATTTTTAAACAAAATGAAAATAAGCATTTGTTTTAAAAATAAAATAGAAGTACGAAAACAAATGGATGAGATACAACAACATATTATACAAAATACGGAGTTGAAGTAGAGTAATTGCAGATGACGTGATATGGTGAGTGGGGTGCGTATACTCGAAGTTACCGCGTAGTCTATGCGTTGCAGTAACTTCCTACGCACGCTTATACGTCTACTCGATTTTTCAAACCCGAATAATCCTACAAAAACCGTGTCATATGTTAACCCTTCTACTGCAGTTCTACTCCTCCCGTCAGGACACTCATCACACGCATTCACGCGACAAATATATTAATCGCGCGTATAATAATAATAATAATAATAATATAAACACCGGACATGCACGTGGACACTCGCCAACACGCCGCGTGCGCGCGTCTAGACGCTCTACTGTCACGGATCACGAATATTATTGTTATAATATTATGTTTGTATTTATAATGTGTTAAAATAATACTGTTCAAGTATTTATAAACTGCACGTGACAATTTCCGACGTTCACGATTTGACGCGTTTTTCGGACACGAACACGTCATATTTTTTACGACTCGTCGTACGCACATCGGAATAATATACATATAGAAAATAGAAGTCGATTTTTATGAGTTTACGAGTAGGGTACGGTCTACGGTCCACATACGTGCAGTATTTGCTGGTGTTTTCGATCTACGGTTTTGATTTGAGGTACTGCTTTCTAAGTACTTTCGGTAATATACCTACTATCTAATATTGGTAATTATTATTGTAATCGTTGAAATCATTGTACGACCTACTCATGGCCTATAAGTACCTATTGGCTATACGTTCAAAAGCTCCAGTACCAGATATAAATATACTTATAATATATCGGTTTTTGCCGAATCATTGGTCCGGGTTTTCTCCGTAATTATCTCATCGAATATCGCCCGTTGTCGACCAGTTAGGTAGGATAATATGATTTTTATACTTTTACCCGTACGTGTTATGAGTACATCTACAACGCCTTGTTCGATATAATTTTATTATTATATACACGAAATGGTTCGATAAGTTCTGTAGTAGATAATCGCAGAAAAAAAGTGAAATAAATAATTACTAAAAGTGAAAGAAGTTTAAGGAATATAATACGAGATTCGTGTAAATGTAAAAAATGATTTTTATTTTAACTTCTTGATACTAATCAGTTTTAAAAATCCAAGACGAGTACTCAAAACTTAAGAATACATACTGTTAGTCTATAACTGTAAAACTAAGTAAATTATTTTTAATACATTGCTTAATCGTTTAATAAAAAATAACGATTTATAAACTTATTTTAAAGTTTAATCTACTATAATTCAGATAATTACATAAATATAATACAATGTATATACCTATTTTTATAAAATCAGTCTGCAATATCAATATGTATAATATAATGTTATACTCGCTAAATATTCTGAGGTAAACCATAAAAAATAGAAAAAAGAAATCTTTTAAAAAAAAAAGCATAATTTATTTAATTTAGTTAAATTAGCTTATAATATTTATTTAAATTCATTATCTCAAATATTTTAATAATTTATTTGATTTGGAAAAATTAAAATTCTTTATTTTAGTAAAATCTTGAAACTCGTACAAAAATATGATTTTTAAGTAGTTATAAAATCTATCAAATTTAATTTAGTTCATAAGACAATCTTATTATATTATTACTTGTTTTTAATTATATTTTGTTAATTCATTAAACATTAATTATTTATTCTTAAATCACATTTAAAAAAAATTATAAATTACCACATTGTCTAAAATATATTTAAAAAAAATTGAAGTTAAGTCATTCCTATATTATAAAACTTCTAATGTAGTTATTATGTGTGTTTAATTTGAAATTAACTTAATTTATCATCCTTTTTTTATACCGCTATATAATACTTAAATAAAAGTTCTAAAAAAATCAGATTGTAAAATTAGATTAGTTCGACTAGATAAAAAAGTGTTTTAATATTTTATAAGAAATATAACTTATAATATGCACACATAATTATTCTAAATGTTATTTTGTAAGTTTTTTACTGTCAGTAGATAAGTACAGACGTTTTTCGTTGAAAATTATAAATACAATCATTATGTAAATTTTTGTTTTGCAATATAACACAAAAACTCATTATAATATTTATATTACATAAAACACATTTGACTCAACTAAAATTCAAGCGGTGTGCCGGTGTTACTATATTTTATTCAAAGTGCAAAATAAATACTATTATACTAATAATGATAAGTAAGTAATAATAATTGATTTACCGGTTTTTATTTTTATTGTGATCTATTAAAACTGTGTAGAGTTGATTAAATCATTGTATATATATAAATAAAGCATTTGTGACTCACATATATTTTTTAAAATCAAGCTATAAAACACTTACGTTAATTTTAATATATTATTTAGCAGGTAACGTTTCACACTCCACAAAACACTTACAATTTTACATTAAATAGGTAATGAATATATTATACTAATAGAATACATTTTGCATTAAATAAACATAAAAAGTGGGTATCAAAAATAATAGTGTATTATTTGAATAAAAATCTTAATGCAATGTCATCTACATTTTTCATGTGTATATACTATATAGTATCTCTGTTATAATAAATAATACGATATAATATTACATAATATATACGTATAATAATAATTTGAAATTGTTCATTAATTTGTTTCATCTTCGTTTACTAACTAAATAATTTATACTTGTACGACCATGACAAACAAATAATAATGTAATTCAATAGTATATAGTTAGAAAACATGTTATTTTTTACAAAAGGCATTTTTGTACAAATATGTTTTAGAATAAAACACTTATGTCCATTATATATAAGGATTGCTTATAGACACAAATTTTAAAACAAAGTCATGATGATAATTGTTATATTATTTAAAATTTAAATTGTAATTAAAAGGAATGATTCTTGCGTATGCATTTTAAATATTTTATTAAATAGGTACCTAAGTAATAAATTTATTTATGTAACTAATATTTTAACAATATGTTTAGTGAATATATAATACACATTATATTGAATAATAGTTTAGTAATAGAAAAAAACTTTATTGATTACTGTGGCTTTTGTTTTTTAGGACTTTGTTGACCATGTAATGCAGTAACATATACATTACATAACATCAAATATATATGAAATAACAATACATGATTTTATTGTAAGTCACGTGAAAACCTTGACAGTTATGATACTGTTTCAAGGATTGAATTATGAGTTCAATATTGCTGCCACCTAATGTAAAACGTAAGAACCTTTATAAAGACATTTCTGTTCATAATATCCTTTTTTACACATTGTTTCAATCTAATAAAAATATTTAATTATATAAATAGAATAAAGCTTTTATTATTAATACTCATAATAATAACTATAGTGAAGTAGGTATTTATTTAGTATTTACTGCAGTGCTCGATTGGTGTATGTACAGGACCGTAGAGAGACGGCTGAACGGGATTTCCTTACTATTTTATGACAAAAGTTCCTAAACTGTAGGTTTAATTAAATTATTTCACGAGAAACTGATTTGAAACATTGTAAGGTAAATAGTTATTATTCCTGTTATAATAATAATAAAATTAATACCAACCTACTTTAGATTACGCAATTTTAAATCTGGAGTTATAAAAAACTCGAAACACGGAACCAGATTTACGGTTATCGATGTCAACTGTCAAGTACATAAATATTATAAGGAGACCCCACCATAAAATAAATATTACACAAGAACAAACTTAAAAAAATCGATGCACGATATGAACGCGTATGGTGTGCCCTTAGAAATAAATACTGTTGTGAAAAACGACTGTGAAGGAAGTCTTGCGCCATGCATTTTTCACTATAGGTTTGTTTTGTACCTTTTTCAAACACCATGTTTTTTTTGTATTCACTATTAAAAAGACGTTTATTGATTCTAGTGAAAAAAGATTTTTACATAAATTTTTAATCAAAGTTCCTCAAAATATGTTTAATAATAGTTAAAATTGCATTAACAAAACTTGATGAAACCAAAATTAGAAAAAAAAAAATCCAATATACTTTATTGCATATTAATAATTAGTAAAATATCAAACTCGTTAAAAATTATTACATAATTTAATTTTATTTAATAATTTAATATATATATATATTTTATTGAGCTAAATGGTAATTTCAAAAACTTTATAATACAAAAATGTTTTTTTCTTTTCACC